TAATCCGGTGCGCCTTATAGTGTGGAAAATACGGTAACTGTCACCTATAAGAGCTTTGGTCAGTTTTTGTCGTAAAAATGACTCAAAATCTTCTGGAGAGAAATGTTGAGAGAACAAATGTAGGTCCTTCGGAAGTTCTGTTTGGCTCTCTTGCACTGCTTTCTTTTTTTCATGTAGGAAATCATCCAAACTCCTCTCACTGTTTTTTTAATTATAGCAAACAGTGACATTATCTAAAATTACAACAGGCAAACACAATATGATAAACCACTACTCAGATAAAGTTAGCCTTCCTGTGTTTACAGAACCCAACAGCGTCAGCTCAGCAGTGCCTGATGATTTGTGACGTTATTTTCTGGAAGTTTTTGAAATGGCTAATTTCCAGACACCAAAATTATTAACTTATTGCTAAAGACCGACAGGGTGGTTTTTAGCATTTGTGCTGCTTTTAGAAGCTGTAGAAACCCAAATGGAAATATAAAAATGTGCAAAATGTAAATTTTACACAATAAGTCCCAAAGAGGTTTTGTACAGCAGCAGAGCAGTGAAGTCAGGAGTGTCAGGTTCTCATGGTGAAAGGTGAGTTTTTGCCATTATGAATCTGACTCTTTGTTAGGCACATTTGCACGTCACGTAACAGTTGCACATTTACAGAATGGAAATGTGTTCCACTTCTAGAAAAAAAAAAAAAAAAACATTCAGTGGCTTCAATTCAATACAAATTAAAATTTTAATTAAATTTTGTTGTTGGTTATAAAGTTTTAGTGGCTGTTCTCGCCATAAATTCTGGGCAAAACTTTTATCTTACATGGGGTCAGAGAATATGAAAGTGGGGCACTACAGGAGAGAACTACGGAGTTCTCTATATCACTGAGAGACAGTTTATTTCCATGTCTTTGGTTGCACCAAAAGGCTTATGCAATTTACTCTATGTGTTAATATTTGAGAAGGTGCATAGTTAAGCTTCCTTACCAATCCATCAAAGAATGGTGGTGACTTGATGTAGGTTGATTTATCATCCCAGGTGTACAACTTATCAGAAGGAGCCACCAGAGAGTTCCAACGATCATTCACTTTCTGCAATAAAAAAAAAATACTTTCAGACCCTAAAGGTTTGGATTGTTTTTTACATATATTTACTAGAAAGTCATTTGATAGCACCTCAATTTTGTCATAGACTTCTCTGAACATTGATGGAATGACAAATGTTCTCTCCACTGCCTGGATCTCATCTCGAGTGGGCCAGATATCCCTGAGGAAGATTTGTCTGCCTTCTGAGTTAACAGCTGCATTGGAGAAGATGAAGGATGAGATTTAGAGAATTATTTGAATTTGATGTTTTAGCTATTTATATGATAAAGGTAAAAATCTCTGAGGTCAACTGAAAACCCCCCAGCAATGTTGAGCTGTATATTGGGTTATTCTTGGTATATTGGGACAAACTATGACATTCAAATTCCAGCTCATTAATGAGTCATTTGGAATAGTCACAAAGTAACACTTGGGATTATCTTTTTAAAGGTTAATTCTGTTACATCATGATACTCCCAATTGTGCAACTTCATCTTTTAAATCCAACGATCCTTACTAAATGTGAAAGTAAAGTGTAATTCAGGTCCAGTGCATTGAAAAGTAAAAGTTTTCAATACAGGAGCTCCAATTGCAGTTTTCTGGCTAATCATCGACCTTTAAAGAGCCTGACCTGCCGATATTGATTGTTTTGTCTGAAAAGTTAAGTCTGCAACAGTGACTTACTATGACAACTGACAACTATTGCTAACCCTGATGGGCAGGTCAGTCAGTCCTCTCACTGCAGAGCAGAAGAAGACAGCGGCTGATTTTCAGATCTTTGTGGAGGGAAATGATATCAGTGGATAAGATTGGGTTCTCATGTAAGTATCAGCCAATCTCCCAAAATTAACAAAATCGACACCCATAGTTTTCAATTTGATTAATATCAATAGAATATTGAATATCAATAAAATCAAAAAGGAATAAAAATGAACTTGCCAGAGGGTATGCTACAATTATGTACAGCTTTATGTTGGTCTATCACATAAAAGTTCAATAAAATTCATTCATAATTGTGGTCATTATGTGACCAGGATGAAATGGATGGGCACTGCAGTCACATGCAAGCCATCAGGTCTGCTTATCAGCGCAAACTCTGATAAATATTGGCTAAAGTACAAAGTACACACTGTACTTTGTATAAAGTTCACTCACAGGAAGCCAGATCTCCACTGGCTTAAAGTGCATTTCATCACAGCTTTGAACCATTTGACCTTTTAGCTCAGGCATTTTCAATAGGTCCTTAGACCAGCAACATTATGTTCATTGTTTTAGGTAATGTCAAATAGAAGGGCTATCCCATAATGCCAATGTTAACTTTAAAGTTACATTTTGGACAAAGTCACCTAAACTCTTCAAGAGACTATAGCCATTTTAAAGAAGCAGGTATGTTGTTGTCTCATTATAAAACTTTACTCTGTGATGAGCTAGGGATAAGACTGGAAGCTGATACATCTTTACAGATGATCTGATCTTTTATCCTGATGCGGATCTAAACACCCAGAGAATAAGGAGACCCTACCTAACATTTTGTTTTGCTGCTAAGTAGCAGTATAACTCACCAATAGGTTCCTTCTCAAAGTCTATTCTCACTGTGCCAGCTATTGCATAAGCTATAACAAGTGGTGGCGAAGCCAGATAGTTGGCTCTGGTGTTGGGGTGGACTCGCCCTTCAAAGTTTCTGTTTCCAGACAGGACCCCTGCAGCAACCAGATCCCCCTGAAACACAAACAAGTGTTGGATCTCACATTACAAAGAAAATAAAGAAAAATAAAGAAAAATCAGATCTAATAAAAGGTGATGGAAGATATAGATCTGAAGAAGAGCTACAAAAGCAAAGGGGATGGATTAGCAGTGCTTGTGAATAACAGATGGTGTAAACCAGGACATATTACTGTTAAGTGTCAACTCTGCAGCATGAATTGAGCTGATAGCAATAAGTTTTCATCCATATTAGCCTCCAAGGGTTAGCTACTCGTGTTATCTTAACCCTCCATCTGCTGTTGCCAACACTGCATGGGATGTCACAAGCTCAGTTGTTGCTAAGCTGCAGACACAAAGTATTAAGGCAATATTTACAATCACCTGTCTACTACACTTCCAACATATGAAAATAAGAAGTATGAAAAGATAATCAGAGGAAGCTGAAAAAGCCCTGCTTAGTTTTTTAGGCTGGAGACTGGGATGCACTCTGTCAGTCAGATAGAAATGATTTCAATGCTGTGACAGGGCCCATCCACAAGGGACATTTTTTTCTGACATGGTAAAGTTTTTAACCAATTTTACTTATTGTCCACATGGAAACACTGGTGGCAGCTGTGCATTTAGTACCTGGGCCTTCAGTGGGAGCTTACCGATTTAATCCACCACTATAATGTTACAAGTATGCAACCCACCAATACTACAGTAAACAAAAAACGCAATGTAACAAAGTCTGGTATTACAAAGGAAGCCCTTGTATCAACATCAGCATTTAGTGATTGGATTTCAAGCCTTCTGCTGAAATGCGTTATTCAGACCAAGTGACCACATGGATCCTAACTAATTGTACTGTATGCAAATAAACACAGAGAGACCTCATCATGGCGATTTCCTTATGATATATTTTTTCTATGATTTTACTACAAAAAGCTGTTCATAAGGGTGTTGTGTATTTTACACAAAACTATTTATTCATCAGTTAGCCTAATAACTAATTATGATTTTTTTTTTTGCATATTGAGAGTGAATAGTATTATTATTTAAGAAAGAAATCCAGTAAGGACAACTTCAAACCTCTACACTAAAACCAACTGTGGCAAAAAAAGAGAGAAAAAAATAAAGCACTTAATACTCAATCAGCTGCTAATTATTTCTTTATACACAAACTCCATCCTCCTCTCTTTACGCATGAAAACTTAAATGACCATCATAGAGCTGATCTCATCATTTCAGTTCCATCAATAAGTCCTTTTACAGCCTGTTCTTTGTTGTATTCTTGGCAAATCCCAGCCATTTCTTCTACAATGCTTCTCAGTCCACGACCACCCAGTAGGTGGGCGTGGACTAAGCTTTTTTCAGTGCTGCGCTGCGCTCGAGGGATAAACCCACTAACGATAGCCTTAAAGGGCGAAGCCTATACGAAATAGAACTTGAGGTGAGCAATAATTATTTGAGACTCTGCAACAACATTTTAAGCTTAGTCTAGCCCCAGAGAAGACATACTGCCTTGTTCTGGTACCAAAAGAAAAGTCACCAATCACTCATCAAAGACCAACCAAAACAAGCTAACAAACACATATCAGGGCCCCCTGTAGTTGACATACTACAGGTGGCCCTGTAGTATGTAGAAGCTGTTTGTTGAAGCAGCTTCAACAAACCCACTGTCATCTGGACAAAGCAGGCAGTACTGTGAGGATCATGTTCTTTGATTTCTCCAGAACATTTAGCACAATTCAGTCTGATCAGCTCATTCAGAAACTCCAGAAGACACAGATGAAGGCCTCAACAATCACTTGGATCTATGACTATCTCACAAACAGACCACAGTTTGTGAAACTGAAGGACTGTGTGTTTAACCAGGTGATCAGCAACACAGGAGCACCACAGGGGACTGTTTTCTGACCATTCCTTCTCACTCTGTACACTTCAGACTTCCACCACAAGTCTGACTTCTGCCATCTCGAGAAATCCTGAGATGACTCTGCAGTTGTCAGGTGTATGGACAATGAGATGACAAGAGGCCGAGTAGAGTTGGTGGACCGCTTTGCGTCATGGTGTAGAAACAATCATCTCATCTTGAATGTAAACAAAACAAATGTAGATTTACAATCATAGATGTTTGTACTTCAAGCATTCTAGGAAGTACAGATGAGGAGGCTGTACGTCCTGGAATACTGTTTCAATGGTGGAAACTGTACTTTTACTTTCAGCAAAATAAAGAATATTGTCACACAGGAGAAACGGCATCAGCTCCCACATGGGCATTGATGTCGTCCAGGAGCATACATTTTACAAGATCTATATCCCATCCAAGAAGTCTAAGTAGAGCAGGGGTGTCCAATATGTTGATCACGATCGATCGCGGACAGGTTTTGAGTCGATCTCGGCAGGTGACAAACTGAACGCTGCGAGGACGCTGAAATCAGCACTTCCTCTTCTGACAGGCTTATCAAAAATATTCACTAAGATCCTAAACATTTGTAGCTTCATTAAAAAAGAATAATTATAAAAAAATCAACGAAATATGTTAAAATTAATAATCTCAGTAATTATTGTTTCAACAAGGTGTTGCGCAATTCAGTGCGTTTCGGTTCCATTAACAACAACAAAAAAAAGGCGACTCAAAGACCGACTGACGAGCAGAGCAGGAGTTTAAATTAGCTGCTCAACCACCGCTGTGTTCATGAGAGGCTTATTAATAATCGAGAAATAAATATCAAGCCTAGAAACCTGATATCGTAACGGACTGAATGTTGTGTTCTTAAAGTAATCTCTGCTCGGACTGAATGGGGGCGGTTGCCACGGCAACAGGTGTGCTCGAACCCGTGCTCAAACTTGTTGTTTGAGCACAGGTGTGCTCAAACAACAAGCACACCCGTTGCCATGTGTGCAACGGCAACAGGTCCCACTCCTACCTAAAAAGGTAGGAGTGGTTTTGAGTTGATCGTTTGTTCGGGTTGTTTTACCTTTGTTTACCTTTGCTGTGGCTCTTCACACCTGCTGTAGTTTCTGAACATTCAATAAACGACAAACTTGGACTAATTATATATTTTGTTTGTGAGTCTATGTCACAACAAACATCAAATAGGACAAATATATTTCATTAAGTTTTAACAAATTCTACCGCAATAATTATGTGAAATTAAATTAATTATATCCCGACTTCAGAAGATTTGCCTTTACCTTTACTGGGCTCTTTGGTTCCTCCTATCAGTCTGTAGTTTCTCATATTTCAGTCATCAAACCAAATTTCAGATCTACCATGACTGACTGACTGACACCTGTTGGTGTCAGGTTTGAAACCAGCTTCTGACTGAGAAACCAGTAACCTGCTCCCAGTGTCAGAATCTCACTGAGGAAGAAACTGCATTAAGTTTTCTGTCGCTTTATTATTTCTGCTATAACTGATGTATATTCGCATATAAAATAAGTCAATAGAGTTTCATTTGCAATTTTTATGTCTTTGTGTCATGAGGCAGGCAGATGGCCTCTCAGGCAGCTGGTGAGAGAAAAAGTAGATCTTGCTCTCAAAAGTTTGGGCACCCCTGAAGTAGAGCAATAGTGTTACACATACCTTAGTTATGGCCTCCACCACTGAATCAGGGAGTGGACCACTGTTTCCAATACACGTCATGCAGCCATAGCCAACAACCTCAAAGCTGACATGAGACAAAAAAAAAACAACTGTTAAAGTAGAATGTGGGTCTGTGTATTTTCAGGCAGTTAGTTTTTGTTTAGTTTTTTCATTTCAAATGAAAAAAACAAAAATAGACTAGTTTTTTTGTTTTTAGTTTATTAAACCAAAATTGGAAATTGGATAATGGCTCGGCTCAGCTCGTTATCCGATTTCCTATTAAGAGCACAAAATGAAAATGGAAAAATGGATAACGAGCGTTCAATTTTGATTTTTATTATTTCATTTTTGAAAAGCAAGTAAGTAAAGTTTATTTATAAAGCTCTTTTCACAGACATACATGCTGTACAATAAAAATCAACCTTAAAAACCCTACAAAACACAAAACCACCGGTAGAAACACAACAAAATCAAGATATAAAAGTCTGGAAAAATAAAAATGTTTTTAGATGCTTTTTAAAAATCTCCACAGAGTCAGGAAAACGGACCTGCAAGGGCAAACTGTTCCACAGCCACCGACTGAAAGGCCTGGTCCCCTTTAGTTTTTAACTGTTCATGGAACAACCAAAAGATTCAGACTTTGAGAACGAAGACCACGGACAGCAGAATATTTAGTTAAAAGTTGACAAAGATGATCAGGAGCCTGGCCATGTAATGCTCTGTATGTCAACACAAGGACTTTAAAACGAATTCTAAAATCAACTGGGAGTGTCAGATCTGGTCATCATGTGAATGAGGTAAGTCCAGCCAAGCTCAGTTCAGCAGAATTTAGAAGCTTTATTTTTCTACACTGGTACCTTTCTAGATTACAGATCATAAACTACACTGAGAACGCAGTGAGCAACGCAGAGGATCCCACAATGTCTAGGGACACAGGTAAACTTAAATATACTGGGGAAAAACACAATCAGGAAAACAAAACAGCTGCGTTAATTAAGCCCAGGTGGCAGGGATGAAGGCTAATGTCAACAGAACCCATCATGATAGGGAGCAAAGTAATGAATATAGAACAGGAAAGATATGACATGATTTACTGGATTTGGTGAGAAGTCTGGCTGCTGTGTTCTGTATAGATTACAAAAGTGAAATTGAGGCTTTATCCAGGCAGGTAAAAAGGGCATTACAGTAGTCTAGACGAGATGATACAAAAGCATGAATGATATTCTCTAGGTTGATTTTAGAAATGTTTCTTAAGTGAAAGAAACAAGAATGGCAAACAGCCTTAATGTGTGAGTCGAAGCCTAATAATGAATCAAATGTGACACTTAGATTTTTTACCTTTGATTTTACTAATGGGCGAAAGGATCCAATTGTCTGGCTGATATTGTTGTGTAGGTCAGTAGTCCCCAACCTTTTTACCACCATGGACCGGTGGTAAAAAGGTTGGCAATTTTACTGCAACCCTGATCCACCTGTCCTGATGT